TAACATCTTTTCCCTATGAATTTTCATAAAACTCAACTTTTACCATGTTAATGAAAGGAGACTTATTACTATCCATTAACCATAATAGTAATCAGGGCCCATGTGTCCTATCCTCATCTGTGACACACATGCACACGCACACACACAAGCACACACACAGGCAGTGTTTGCCATCCAGCTATCAAGACTAATTTCAAATAAGTCTCTATCTTTCAGTTGCATATCCTAAGAAACACAGAGAGGACCTCACTCTCGGCCTATAGTGACATCTGCCAAACTCTCCTGTGTTCTCCTTCCTTTCCTTGGTCTCTCATTTGCCCTCAGTTTTCTGGAGTTGTGGTGTCCAAAGAAATAGCCACCAGCCATATGTGCCTAGTTAAATTTTAATTAATTAAAATGAAACAATATTTAAAATTCCTGTCACAAGCCACATTCAGAAACTCAGCAGCGTGTGCAGCTGGTGGTCCCCTTCCTAGAGGGCAGACCTGGGTGACTCTGCAATTGCAGAAGCCCCTCAGACAGTGCGACTCTACACCCGACTTCAAGCAACCCACATTACCTGAGAGCGGCCTGTCCCCTCGACTCCTAGCTCTTGGCAAAGCAGCGGCGGGCACCTCGTCTCAGCCCTGGCCCTTTTTCTTCCACTTTTCAGATCATCTCCTTCGCTAGCAGTTTTTTTTTCTCCAATTTTACTTCACAGATAGCTCCAGGGAATGAACCTACAAAGACACACATGCACACGCACACACACAAGCACACACACACGCAGTGTTTGCCATCTCTAAGAAAGAGGTCAGCAGATCCAGGTGGGAAATAGGTGCATGTTAAGATATCACAGCTATCGTCATCTATCAGAGCTGGTGACCTATGCTGGGCTCACAAAATCTGACAATTCCAATAACTTAAGAAAACGACAAAGAAAGCACGCAAACACACAGAAGTACCTTTTCAAAATCCGACATGGCTCTCTGACCTTACGGGTACCTGAAAAGAAAGAGAGCCACTTGAATTCTTTATTCTGATATAGGGGACACAGAAGGGGAGATTCCATGGAACATTCTATCCCAAAAAGGGCAAAGGGGTAGGATTACAAAGGAACAGGTGAGTGTAACTCAATCCCACGGGATGACACCTATTCCTGGAGCCACACCTCATTATCATAGTGGAGATAAAGCCCAAGTTATTACAGGGCACAATAATTACCCAGTATCTCTTGCTCAGGACTTAAGGGTATGTATTCCAGAACGGTTCCCTACATATGGCCACATTAACAATAATAATGGCTATTATTTACTAAGTGCCTTCTGATGCACTCAGTATGTACATATAATATATAACTTCTAATGATCATGATCGTAACAGCCCTTGAAGATGAGAATTATTCCAATTTCCTTTAATAATAGAAAAAGAAAAAAACAAAACCTTGAAGTCCAGAGCACTTGCCTCTCTTACCCACAGTCACCCGACTGGCAGGGGTGAGGCCAAAGGTGGACGCTTCATTCCCTGACTGCACAGCCCCTGCCCTTGGGCCCCAGCACTCTGAAGAGATGCTCTGACAATGATAATGGACATTCCCATGGCAACATGAACAGACAGGGTGAGATTCCCAACCATCTCCCGTAGATACGCTAAATGAGGAGCCTCTGCCACAGACACATTCTGAAAAATGCTTTGAGGAAAGAAAAACCTACCTGATCATGCTCCTGCACACATTAGCTATGGGCATTTTGAAAATTCGCTATAAAAATAATGAAGAAATTCTTTCCCTTTGAACATCAGCAATACTTTCCAATTCTTCTAGTTTGCCCTTTAAAAACAGGTATGAAATGTAGAATTATATAAGCAAGCGGAAAAAAAAAAACATGCCAGTTATACTCCTAGTTACTAGCAGTCCAGGCAAAACCATCTGATTTTAATCTTTTCATTTGATTACCTCATGTTTTAAAAATCTGTCCAACCCATAAGAAATAAATGCAAACAAGTATAGCGATATGTTCTGGAGCTGCCAGAAACACAAACGTCGGCATTTCTAGTTTGCTATAAAAAGTCAAGGTCAGAAATATTTTAATTCCACAAGCAGAAGTCCACATGCACATCCATCCTCCTGCCTCAAAAATCACACTGACAAAAACATTGTCCTCCTCTGCAATTTAAAGAGAGCTTAACCTAAAAAGGTACAGTTGGAAGATAAAGGAGGAAGATGGATGAGTGGGTCATCTCTTCGGGGTCCTGGGCCCAGCTCTTCATCACACGAGCATTTTCCAACAATAAAACTGTTTGTTTAGAGTGGAAATTGGACCAAGTTCTAGCCCGAGATATTGCTATGTACCTCTTGCCAACTTAGAAAGCACATGTGTATCTCCAGACAGAATTTAATTCACATTATTTAATCAAGGAATATAAGTGTTTTGCATGTAAAGTGAATCTGCAAAAATCTATTCACTAGAGCCTGAGAGCTTTTAACAAGCACCATATGTGGTTCAAATATTAATAAGAACTGTCAAATGCAGATGATATGATTTCCAACACCCTGTCTATCTTAGTGAAGAAAGCATCGATGACATTTGCTGAATCTCCTCAACTCAAGAATGAACTTACCTATTAAAAGTGGATCATTGAAAACAAAACAAAAACAATTAATTGGCACAGAGCGAAGGTAAAAAGAGACTTGAAGCCCAGTTAGAACAGAGAGACCCCCCCCAAAGCTGCTTCCAGGATGGAATACTGTCTTCTCTGTAGTCGCCTCTGTTGCCCGATCGGCTTACAGTCTTTCTCATATTTTTAACCTAAGGTGTAAGTATTTTCCACCCCATTTGCTCCCTTTGGTGACTACATTAGCAAAGCATTAATTGCTCAGGTCTGTGAACAAGCCTCATCTCACTCCCTCTGCGTGTGGCTGCAATCGTGTTCAGAACTAGAAGTGACAGGCAGCCCCCCGTGCAAGTCCCACATGCTCCAAAGCAGAGTCCCCTCTCCAAGTCCTACTCGGATGTTGCCTGCCCCTCTTCCTTCCAGATGCCTGTCCTTCCCCTCTACCTGCCACTGCCACATACACCAGCCCAACAGGCTCATGCAGAAAAAGGAGTTTATTCTGAGAATACAGAGGAGCCAGAGCACAGGACCTGACCAGGAGGCCAGGCGTTTGGAGCTCAGTAAGCAGACCAGGCAGATGGGTTAATAACATCATCAGCTACAGTTGGAGTTCCCAATCCTTGGAGCCACTATGGAAGTCACCCTGGGCATGGCCAGGTCCCCAGGATCACTCCTTGACTGGGGAGATGTGGCTGGTCTTGATTTTCAGCCCAAGTCTGCAAGGGAAAGCTTCCTGGGCAGCCTGGGTCAGACCATCACTGACAGAAGGCAAACGCACCGGCAAAGGGCCTTGCGCCCCGTTTGTCAACTCCTGGGGCTCCGCCTGCCCAAGTCCTCTGGCGTTGGTCCTCAAGTGTCACAGAGCCACGACTCACCTTTGGATGAATTCACTTAGGTTTCATCTTTCTGACTACATCACTAGCGCCTCTAAAGCAAAACCGTTGCGTTAAGTCACCTGCAGGACCCTGCGCAGAGCACTGCTCCATAAAGTCTCCTTGATTTAGAACTTGAAAAAATTAACTGCTTACAGGTTAGTTTGACTTCATAGTAAAATCAGTTTCTAGGTTTTCCAGTCATTTATTTTGGAAATCTGTTTAAAATGCAGGTGACCATAATTGCCACTGTGTTTTCTTTCAACGAGTGATGGCATTTCGTTGACAAGAGAAGTGGCCAGGGGCAGCTGCCCAGTATGGGAAGAATGTGTGCCGGGGCGCTCGGCACTGACAGGATTTATTAATCTTAAATGTTTGCCTCACACTTTAAAGATACTGGTTATTGTCAAGTGATGAAACTCTGCTCAGAAGCCTTCCAGACCTGAGATCCAGGAGTCAAAACTATGCCTGGCCACTTCCTGTTCTCCACCAAAATATCCTGAGTTAGACCAGGTCCTGCCTCCACTGAGATGAACGAGGTCCGGGCAAGTCGTCACCAGAACCCACAAGTGTGTCTCCCATGTGCTCTTCACAGGCCAGCTGGGGCCTGCAAGGGAAGCCCTGGGAACAGACACGGGGCTCCCCTAATTGGCACCTCCCTGTGGGCATTATTTGCTCCCTTTGGTGCTCAGCTTCCTGTTCTGTAAAACAGAGGCGCTAGATCAGAGCAACCCTGTGCTCCTCACAGCTCCACTGCCCTGTGGGCCCAGGCTTCCCTTTCCCATCTTCAAATGAGCAGCAAGGTTTGTCTGACCCTCTAATAATACCCCCAGTAACACTGGTTGGCGGATCCTGAGTTCGTACTATGAACTACACTGCGAGCTTCACTTGGCGGTTATCATGTGCCACAATCTGCCATTCACTATTAACCTATCCATTTTATATGAGGAAAAAATGGGACTGAGACCTATACATAAAAGACCAGGTTGAAACTAAGCAGCAACTTTCCTAAGATCACAAAACTAACATGTCACAGTGTCAGGACTCATCACCAATTCCATCTCACACTTGAGCTTGGGCTATCCGTTGCGACAATCCACAGCCTCGCAAATGTCCACCGTGGCTGTGGACTGAGCTGTGTCTAATCAGCAGATGAGAGTATTCTCAGAAGCTGCATCGAGAGGAAGCGACTGAGCACGGCTCAGTCAACCACCCACAGCTACTTGGATATCGGCACACATCACTGTCTTGCCAAGGTGCCACCCACATCACCATCTCCCCATGGGGCTCTGCACTCATCACCACAACGAACACACCTGGTGTGTGGAAGGAGAGCAGGTGAGAAGCCACCCTGCAGCCCAACACACGCATGGGCTGTCCCCTCCTAGAAGTGGACCCTAGATTGCAGAGTGTCGAGTGAGGCAGGTGATCCCCGTCACAATGACTGAAAGGTGAGTTCCATTTGACAGGTGCAGTCACCACAGGAGGGATCTGGGTGCTGGGATCCTTTGGGTGAAGGCTAACCTCCAACAGAACTGCACGGGAGTTGATTTTGGTCCCCTTGATTTTCTCAGTGCCAGTCACTGTTCCCTTCAGGAGGGCTTTCTCCCTCCTCATGTCTTCTGCCCTCCTCTTTTCTCTGCCTGAGAGGCCAGCCAGACAGGTAAATACCTAGAGGAGTCCAAGAGCCGAGGCCATTCTGAGACCAAATGTGTTGATGTGACTCAAGGAACAACACAGACCAGCTGTGTCAACATGCCTCAGTCCTCTGTTCCTAGGACCTCGGCTTGGGAACGGTAAGGCATAAACAAGTTCTTAAAAACTCACTTCCCACAGATCAATCCTCAAAGGCAAGAACTGACTTGCCTGGGCAAACACTTGCTCATCACACAGGGTTCACACAACGAGGCTCCTTCCCGACCCTGACTCAGTGTCCACCCCCTCTAGACCATCACTCCCGCCACCCTAAGACCTACCACCTCCAAACACTCGATCTCAGACCCAACACCCTTAAATCAGAGCCCTCTTGACCTGCTTCCTCCAGATGCCGCCAGATGGTAAGTGGGGGCCGTTCTCTGACTTCTGTGAGCACTCAGAGATCTGGTTTGTTTCATTAGTAGGTTGTGGTGACTTGGGGAGGAGGCCAACAGGTTCGCCATGAAAAAAGGCATGACCTCTTTCTCTCTGGCTCACAGAAGACTGGGGATGGGACTTGGAAGTGACTAGTTACTGCCACCGACGGGACCCAGTATGGCCCTTTGGTTGTAATTGGGAGCCTGATCATGGTCTCAGAGCTGACAAAGAAAGTGCAGCAGCCCACACGCTGCTCCCAAGGCTGGAGTGGGGAAAGTCACACCCACAAGCTGTCACCTGCTGCACCTGTGTGTTCGCAAGCTGCACCTGTGGGCGGCAGTACCACCACCACTACCAAAGGGCGTGGGAACAATGGGGAAGTGAGAAAAACACAAAGAATCCTCTTTTCCTCATTCGCCCCTCCTCTCATATCTTCAACAAACAAACAAACAAACAAAGAAGCATAAGTGTCCTCGCAGAGGTCCAGCTACAGTTGGGGCATCCACCCATCATCCACCCTGGGTGCGGAGGGCTTTCTGTGTCACAGACAGTGCAACACTGTCAAGAAGTGAACAAGTCCATCCTCCCCACACCTGAGACATGGATGGGAAATAAGGACAGTCGTGGACAAAGAGTGGTACGTTCTATAGGGGGTGGCAGGATAGGAGCAGGGGGAGGGTGACCAGTCCAGCTCCCTCCTTAGGTTCCCTGGACTAACTGGGAAATCCTAATCCTCGAGGATTCAGCAGAGAACTAAGTACTGGAGGAACATAAATCCAGTACGATCAGAACGCACCACGT